ATTTCTGTGAAATAGTTTTGGGAATTTCATAACTAAAAACTTAATATATGAAATTAAAAAACAATACATTTTTAACTTGTATTTATTGCTTGCAATGCAAATCCAATTAGGTCCACTTATTTGGTAAACAAAGCAAGTCTCTTATATAATATATCTACTAAAAGACAGAAAATATTAAACTGTATTGAAAATAAATCATATGAATATTTTCATATTAGTCAATAATATTACTGAAATTAATTTAAAAACGGAATAAATATAAATTAACACATTTACACAAGTAAATAAATAGACTAAATGATGGGCTAAAAATCTGCAGAAATTTCAGCAAGTGCAGATTCTGTGTGGGCCTATTGATACCTAAAGATGTCAGCAAATTTATAAAGTAAAATGTGCAAGAAACGTGTATTTTTTGATTATTGTGATGATAAAACAAAACTTAAAAAAACTTAAATAACCAATTAACATAATCTCTCAATATTGTGTGCCAGAAATACGGTCTTTTTTCAGTCAACGATTTTCCGATTGATTTTAACATATTTTATTTTTTTAATGATTTATGCGATAAAGTGCACCAATATACACTCACTGGTCACTTTACTAGGTAGACCTGTAAATATCCAACATAGGCTCATTCTAAAAATGTAGCCCTATATACGTTTCTAGAGATCACAAATTATGTAGCCAGAGCTACGCATGGCTGCGATTTAATCTTTAAAACGAATGTTACGAGGCAGTATGACACCATTCCTAGACGGCTTTCCTGGTGTTACCAGTTTGTTACCAGTAGTTCGACATGTATGTTGATGTACTTGAGATGCACAGCGCAGTTGACTGCGACAATGAGGTTCGAGTCTGGTGAAGAAAACAAAAACAAAAGCTGAATAACAGGGTGAGAATGTGGTCAAATCTGAAAATGTGGTAAAAATCTGAGAACTTTTCTTTTTAAAATACTGCTGTTGGGTTTAGAGAAGGGGGTGGGTGGGTCAGTCTGTGGTTTATAAAATGCTATTGGTTGGGTTTAGAGGAGAGTGGGTCAGTCAATCAGTCAGTCAGTCATTCACTCAGTAGACAGTCAGTCAGTCGATAGCGGCCTCCGGCGCGAATGACACTTGTGAGAGAAATTTGAGATCTAAAAAAGCGTACACAGCGGCCTCTGGGGGATTTGCAAAAACAAAAACTGCAAAAAACATATCTCCTGGTATGTATTTTGCTGTCTACAGAAATGTATATAGGGGTGCGTAATCAGAATGAGCCTGAGTTGGAAATTTCTGTAGATATACCACAAAACTCTAGCCCCCTCATCATGACATTAACTCATGATGTACACTACATAATATACACTGTTATATAAGACTGCTGTACCTCCACCAACCCTACGCAAGCAAACACACACACACACACACACACACACACACACACACACACACACTCACACACAAACACACAAACACAGTAGAAACTGCATGCATAAATATACTTAATACATCTTTCATTTGAAGCATATGAATGACATCATCACATAAACAATCAAACATACATAATGAAAATCCCTGGACTCTGTCTGCCCTCTGTTGTCCTCTAACTAAAAGGGCTATTTCAAAAGGACACGTCCTCCATCTTCCACAGACGTTGTTTTCCCCTCTTTCGTCAAGGGCAGCCGGCCATGTGTCATATTTTACCCTGATCTTACTTTGATGGCCTGTCTCTTTTCTCCTTCAGACAACACACACACACACACATTCAGTCAGAGATATCCATCCAGCCTTTCTGTTCTCCACACAGTGGGCCGCTCTCCATCTTTCCTCGTCTAATCTAACACAGATCAGTGGCTTAAACGTATTAGAGTACGAGGTGAGGTAAATCTCCTTCACTCACTAACGCTGAAAAATGACACTGCGGGATTAGCAGCGGCCACAATCAGAGCATTAAACACACATGCGCATTTACACCAAGACGCAGTCAATAAAGCACTCTTAATCACTAAGGAATTCAACAGGGAGGAGAAACGGAAGACGGAGAGAGCGTATCCTTGTGGAGCGCCAGACATCTATCAAATCTCCGCTGTGAGCGCTGGACCGCTCGTATAGGCGAGGAGGTGGTGCGCCAGTCAACTCCGGGAAATAAGAAAATGATTAAGAGTGATTTAATGTCACCCAATGTGGAGAAAACGCGCATCTGTCCGACAGAGAATGATGTTATTACACCACCTTCCTTGCGCCTCTTCGCCTCTCTGTCTCTCCGCTGCCTTTCTCTCCTTCTCGCTGCAGTTTCATCTCTAAGAGCGATGAAGCTTGTACATAAACTCGGTGACTGGAAACTGGGAGAAAAGCCACAGTGATAGACTAACACGAGGAGCCCACATCAAATCGATACAATTTGCGTCAGGTTGAATACTGCACTCGTACTGAAATATGGCCACATTAACCATTACAACGAAATTAGATGGGGGACACTGGGATATCCGGTGGTACATCTGGATGCAGGAAGACTGTTTATGAATTAACTACTGCATCGATTTTCAGTTTGATTTAGCGTTTGGCCACACGTACGCGTTAAAGGGGTAGTTTATTAAATAATGAAAGTTCTGACATCCTCTGGTTATGCCTCATACCCCTCCAAACCAATTTGACTTTTCCTGGAAAAGGAGTTATTGAGCATATCTACCAGACTGAAATTGGTCAGACTCACTCATTATCTTGCCTTGCACCATCTACATTTTTCACATTTCTGCACATTTACACCTGCCACCACACAAGAGCCAGAGGTTAAATTGGTTTGAAACAATCTGGAATGGTGTTAAAAAGGCAATTTGCCAACCCAGGCTCATTCAGAAAACATACCTCTTTATACATTTCTGGAGACTGCAAAATACGTCCCAGAGGAGATGTTTTTTTTTTTTTTCTGCAGATTTTGTTTTCACCAATCCACGAGAGGCCGCTATGTACTCTTTGAGATCTCAAATTACTCTCGCAGGTGTCATTCTCACGTAAACCCACCAGAGGCCACTGTTGACTGACTGTTTGACTGACTGAATGACTGACTGGCTGACTGATGGATCGACTGACCCACCCTTTCTCCTACTCTCAACCCAACCCATTTTATTGATTGACCCTGTCCATACGGAGGTAAGCGGTCAGCTGGTAAGCGTAAAAAAATGGCGCCATACCACCCATAGCATTCATTTAAAAAAATTAAATGCAGCCATACAGACCACTGGCTACATAATTTGCGATCTCCAGAAATATATATAGTGCTACGTTTTCACAATAAGCCTGTGTTGCAATTTGCTTTTCAATCCATTTCATTCCTGTTCAAACGCATTCAGATAAAAATGAATTAAGAATTGTGCTTCGCTCTAGTCTATCTGATAAATTTGCTATTGCTTTTAGTAAATTCCTAAAAAAAAATGTAAACCTCATAATTAAATAAGTAAATATGTAAGTACATAAACAATAAAAAATAATAATAGATAAATAAATAAAGAAAATAAATAAATAAATGCAAGCATACATAAGGAATTTCAAGAACGTTTTTTTCTATAAATGTTTGGAATTATTTTTATTAGTTTATATAGGTTGTTTTCACATGATATGGATGACGTACAAAATGCAAGAGGAGGCCAGGAAGTGATTCTTCTACTTTATGTTGTTTATAATAATTCTAAACAGCTTTTATAGACTTACAAAAGTGTTTTTTCTTATAAATGGGGGAAAATTCAAGAAACTTGCAGAAAAAACTAGACTATTGTTATTGTGGAGCACTTTTCCACCTTACAAAAATAAATAAATAACAATGTAGACTTTGCGTCCATGCTTTTGTATGCTTCATCTGTTATTTCTTGATGTCTAGAAGATATTCACATATAGTAATTTGAAATAAACATGTTTTTGAACCACAGAGTAAAGTGAATCATGTGTACAACTCTTTGTTAATGAATACTACAAGATAGTGTAGCACAGTTCACCGGAAAACTGTTATACTGTAACGTTAGTGTGGTGCATTTGTGATGGTGTAAAATTATAGCATAAAAAAAACTGTCCTATTGAATAATTTCTTTAGTACTACAGTTGTGTTGTACCACAGCAACAACATAATTACTATTATAGTTTTATTCAAGAAATTATATATAGTATGCTTCCAAACACTACAGTATTTACTATGGTATTTTTCATGTAACATAATATGTTATACAGTATCTACCGCCTCAATGACAAATGCAAATTTATTATAGTTCAGTAGAAAACTCGGCCCTCTTCATAATATAAGGATCATGCCCAACATATGTGCTTATTTTGTATTTACAGAACATCTCCTTTGAAATATAGTAAAAAAATCACAGACTTTCTTATATTTCTCCCATTCAGTTGTTTTACTTCTTGCCATCAATCTGAATTTCACACGTCAGCAGAACAACGTGATTTTTACTATGCAATTTTATATTAAAATTATCTGCTAGTGGTTGTATTAGTTTGACTTAAATATACTACTACAATTAATAATTTAATACATTTTTATATTACTATTTTATATTAGACCAATATAATTTGTTTGCATGTCTCAGTGCCAGATAACCATAACCAATATATTTGTGTTTACATATGTTTATATGTTTAATATGTTATACACTTTAACAAAATCAGATCAAATCACTTTACTCCTCATGTTGAGTCATGTAACGAAGTCCAGTAATCTTTTTTTTTTTTATCTTCACACTATTCTCTCATATATTGCTTAGAATGCTCTGCAGGATCCCTGTTTACCATCCACTTCCAATGTATGTGAAGTGACATCAGGATTATCTGATAAACATATCTGTTGTGTTCCACAGAGGGACAAAATCATGCATGCTTGGAAGAATGAGCAGATGAGGACAAAATCTTGTGTACACAAACCAATCTTTCAAGAAACCTACTCACTGATTTTTTAAAATGCTGATTCAAGCAAGCACACACAGACAAAGGGACAAACCCTTGAACATACAAAGACAAACATCTTACCTTGGCATTTCCCTCCATTAGTGGGGTCTCCATAATAACCAGGTAAACAGAACTGGCAATGCAGCCCAGCTGTAAGATTCTTGCACTGCTCACATACGCTGCCATTAACACACGTACTGTGTCCATTACACTGGCATGCTGAAAAATAGAATGTGAGGAGATTAGACTATTAATAATTTGTAAAGGTTTTGATCAGTGATTGAATCATTTTAGAAATGAGGTAATTAATATACCATGATAGTAGACAGTTTAATTAAATAACCAAAGCACTGAACAAAAACTTTTGTAAGCTGAGAAAGTTGTATATTCTATTCCTTTAATGGTAATGAAGGACTATGGGGACATTCTAAGCATGGGATGGGTCCTACTGGCATGGCAGAGTTTATCACAGATCCAATACACATCTCTGCCATTTGCTTACAGTAACCATGTGCTTTTCCCCATACACGATTCATCTGCTCGTGATGTTCTTTCATATAACTTTGTCATGTTTGGTGTCATTTGACAGTTTATGACTTCAGCGCTGTAGTGTTGAAATCAACAGAGACATTGATGTATATCAATATACAATCTATTTACTATTGTTAAGTCATGGCCTGAGGAGAGTATGTTAATGTATTTCTCCCCCACTTGATCTCCTCAACTTTGCTTTTATGTTTAGCTGGTTTTGGGGCTTGGTATTTTACTCATGTGTGACAATGCTTTGCCCAGGGTATAAGAAGGAAAGGTGATCGTTGATCGGGGAGAATGGCTTTTACTCTGCTTCTTCCACACACCAGTGCTTATAGCCTTAAATTCTGACAAAGGCAGTTTTATAGTCTTTGTTACACAGCAGTTCAAATGTTAAAGCTCAGTTTCTTTATACAGCATGTCAGTTTTTTTTTTCTTTTTGTTTTTTTTTTTCATTCTACTGTCTGTATATTTAAAGATGTAACTTAATAAACAAGTTTGAAGCTTTAAGGCATTGAGATTCATTCTCTTTATCAATGACGATAACAACTTTAATACAGTCCAATTAATTACAATGGAGTCAGATAAATAATTGATTTAAACATGATTCTTTCTGACTGCTTTCTGTTTTTGATTGTTGGTTCAGAATAGCAGTGTAAGCTTCAAGTCTTACACTTTATTTTGTACAGTTTTGTATAGTGATCGAAATAAGAGAACAACAAAGACTGTAGAAGAAATACTTCAACTAAACCTACAGCAGTCAAACATTCCCGCAAATATATTCTAGAAATCAATATTGTAGAAAATCTCACATTTGGAATGAGCAAACTCTTTTGCAATGGCTGAAATGGTTATTGCTTTTGCCTTCATCTGGACAACCTTCGCTCAGAGAGTTTCAGTCACTTTAAAAAAAAGTTCACTATATTGCAAAGTCAGCAAAAACTAGAAAATTAAGCTGCTGGTTCAACTATCAGTTCATAAAATAAATAACCACAAAGTGCCAGATTAACAGCAATAACTGTCTGAAAATGTTCTTTAATTTAAATCAGTGTTCTTTTTCCAAAAATTATTATATTATTATTAAAATAATTTATTTTGTTCTTCTGAATAAATGAAAGTCATGCTCTTGTGTCCTTGAAATATTGGAAACTGCAGGTTGCTTTCACTGTATGTTTGAGCCTGTGTGTTTTCAGGTTTACCTGGGCAGGTTATGTAGGCCCAGTCGAAGCCTTTTTCCCTAGAACAGACACTGGTGTCGAGTACTCTCTCTCGGCTCTGTCTGCTGAGGCTCCTCATTGGCCCACGGTATGATCCCTCAATGCACTGGCCCTGTCCTGTGTCTGTGGGGTCTCCACACCAGCCACAATCAGGCTGTTCCAGACACTGGCCACATGTGCGATGACCCGAACAGTTCTGAGCTAAAAGGAAAGAGATTTAAATTAATTAAAGGAATATATAAAAGTGCACAGTAACACTTTACTTGAAGGAGTATTCATTAGACCTATCTAAAGATGAATGTGAATGAGAATTTACTGATGCTTATCCCAACTGTAATTAATTGTCATTTGACATTTAGGATACAAAGATAACATTGTTTATGTCTAGTTGTCATATGAAACAAATACATTACAACCTGCTTTTCTCTGTCATGACAACTTAACATTAACAAGACAACAAAACTTGTCATATATCTGTCATAAACATGATAGCCATGAAGCCATTATAAATCAAAGTCTGACAAGTTTATCAAAGTAGCCAATCAGAGCAAAGCTGGCCCTGGGAATGATTTGGTTTAAAGAGGCTTGATCCTTCAACAAACACTTTCAGACATTTTGAGAAAAGAATTGAAGTTTTTTAATGCATGTTATTATGAGAAAATCAAAGTGCTTTTAAACCTTGGTGGATGCAACCATATTATACGATAGGTCTGAAACAAACTTTAACAATTATTATATAAATAACACTAAATAACACTGTTAACCTTTCAACTAAACAATGAAACAGCAAGTAAATTCAGCCATTTACAGCACATTAACAATAAGATCATCAGAGAACATCTGCTGCAACAGAATATCTTGGTTATGTAAGAGTAGATGGATTATATTCTTGCCACACTCAAACAACGATAAAACAGTTTCAGCTTTGCTTACCCAGAAACTTCACCTATGAGTAGAGACAGCCCACACACATGGGCCTATTTACAATGGGTCTGTCTTCTCCAGTGCAAACAACCTGCTATAATGCTTACCACTAAAGTGTGGATGAAACATGACATTTAAAGTGATGTTTTTACAGTCAAGCAAACATTTATTTGTTTGGCCAAAAAGAAACGGCCACCACAGGAGCTGTCATATTGATCTCTGGCAGGTGAATATAAAAAAAGTCCAGTGACAGTTGCTGAAGTTGGCAAAAAACTGGAGAGAGATACATAAAAGAGATCTAAATCTCCAAGGACAAATAAAAGCTAAGAATGCAAATAGAATTTTAACTGTCAGCCCGTGAAACTAGCAAGACTTCTAAATCTATACATGAGGTATTCACAAAGATACAATGTTAGCATGCCCTAGAAGTTGCTATGTCTTTTTTTGGGCAACAGGGCTCCTGTCTGCAACCAAGTACTCACATTTTGCTACCATTTTTCCTGCTGGTGCTAATTTTCAGAGGCTATTGTGTGATCATGTCAATACCAGTGCTTCCTCCTCTGAAAATCAACTATGTGGATAATGATCTGTGAGGACAGGTGGGAGCGGGTTGTGTTGCTGGAAAATGTAGTGACCTAAAATGAACTAAACGGTAAACACAAGTGCTCCTATTTATGTATTTCATGACATAAAACAAAATAAAGAGTCTATATTTATCAACAGGTTTAATATATATTGAAATTACTGGCTTTATTTTCACTTTAATGCACGTTTTATAGTAGATTCTATTTGTCATTGACACTCACTCTCCAGAAAAGTCCAGAAATTCACAAGTTTGCTATATAAACGTATCATTTATAAATTAACTTGAAACAGAAGAATACTAAAATAATAATTCTAAATGCTGCATTATTAAATAGCCCGCTATTCTTACCATAGACTGTATAAAGATTCTTACATTCGGGTTAATTCTGACAGTACTGCACAAGTATACGTCACCATGTAGCAGAGCTCCTGGACCAGCAGTATTCATCAGTTTTTATCATACATATATACATATGCAGTTAACCTATTAAATTAAACACTATTACATTGTTAAACACTATTAAATTGTTAAATAAATTAAAAAAATGCCAGATAGAATTAAGCATCAAAGTGTGAACCTTTTTTTTTTAAATATATATGCTGACAGTTTATTACCACAGTTTATTCATAATCAATTTTTTATTTATTTATTTATTTATTTATTTATTTATTTATTTATTTATTTATTTATTTATTTATTTATTTACAATCAAATGTATTTATTTATTTACTCAATTATTTATTTATAATCCAATTAAACTTAATTTTTATTCAATTATTTATTTATAATCAAAATGTATTTATTTATTTATTTATTTATTTACTCGTTTCTTTTTTTCTTTCTTTCTTTAAAATCTAATTTTATTTATTTGTTTATTTAATTAATCATTTCCTTATTTTTTATTTAAAATTAAAATGTTATTTATTTATTTATTTATTTATTTATTTATTTATTTATTTATTTATTTAAAATCAAATTTCAATTTAGTTTTTAGAATGTATACTTTTGTTATTAACATTACCATTACTATTTGTCTTCTTTTATTTCTCATTTTGTCAGATAAATAAGCTGCAAATGTCATTTAACTCCATTTAATTTTAACAATTTCTATCATTATTATTCTTTCGTTAGTGCCCTGTGCTTCTCTAAACACCCTGACATACATTCAAAATGTCTGCTAACTGGAGAAAACTATCTAGACACCAGTACAAAAGTTGCTTTTGAAAGCAAAGTCATGGCAAATAATGACGTAGTCGTTAAGTTTAAATAAATATGTTTTACCCCAGCCCACAGCTGGTGCCACCAACTGCATGTTAGTCTGGGGCCCTGGCACGTCTTTTATTTTGTGCCCATTCAAAGTCACTATGTCAATTTGTTACAAGCACTGAAACCTGCTCTGCTTGTGTGTTGCTGACTGACCTTTTAATTTCAAAATAAATCGAGTTTTGTGCCATTACAATATGAATGTGTATTCATACAATGTGCCTGACATTCAGAGCACTGGACATTTGGGACACATGGGACAGTATCATATGATTTCCATTGCCAGTAGGGTTTTTATATAATAAAGTTTTCTAAGGCCGTCACTAATGACCTCCCTTCATTTTTAGCCATTTGTGCGTGTGGGGGAGCAGAAAATATATGCAGGCAATAGAGACAGTAGAAGCGTCCATCAATGAACCCCTTAACCAGACCCCGTCTAATAGGTCCTTAGACAGTGCGAGGGTCAAAAAGTGTCTCAGGGTTAATGGCGAGGGCAGATTCTGAGAGATGAGCAGTGTGTCATTAAAAACAGGGCAGAAAGGCACACTGAGGGGACGCCACTACAGTCAGCGTGATCCTGAGAAAGATGAGCAAGAAAAGCACTATAAAGTGCCACAGTGTTTGACCTACCTTATCATATTCGGGGAAAAAAGTGTTATTTGGAGACATAAGGTGAAGCTGTTTAGAAATTTAAATGGAAAATTGTAAAAGTTTTGCTATCTTTATAGAGTTAAACATGCTGTCTATACGAATATATAAAAAAACTCAAAAACATCCTATATCCCATACCAATCCTATATTGTTATATTGAAAAGCTGAAAGACAGTCACTGTAATCAATTATAATTGCAAAGGTATAACATTGTACTAATGTAGCCAATGTACAATATAAAAAATAGATATTCATTTTGAGATTTAGGGGCTGCAAGGTGGCGCAATGGGTAGCGCTGTTGCTCACAACAAGAAGTTCACTGGTTTGGGCCCCGGCTGGGTCAGCTGGCATTTCTGTGAGGAGTTTGCATGTTTTCCCCGTGTTCGTGTGGGTTTCCTCTGGGTGCTCTTTGAAAGTCCAAAGACATGCACTATCTAGGTGAACTAAATAATCTAAATTGGCCATAGTGTATGTGAGGGGAATGAGTGTGTATGGATGTTTCCCAGTACTGGGATGCAGCTGTAGGGGCAACCGCTTTTTAAAACAAATGCTGGCTAATTTGGTGGTTCATTCCGCTGTGGCAACCCCTGATTTTTAAAGGGGATAAAGAAAAAATGAATAAACATTTACCCTTCCACACTGCTCAACAGTTGATGTTGAAGTTTGCAGCTCATTACACCAGAGAGGATCAGAAAGTGTAAAGATTTTGAAATACAAATTAAAAATAAAAACGATTAAGACAATCAAGTAAATATCCACTTTAATTTAACTAAAATCTATTAAGATTATCAGCTTAGGATAGAGACCAACTAAGAAGGCTACAATTTATTCATCGAATTCCCACTAGTCCTGGCTCCATAAACATGGAGAGCAAATTTTGAGCCCACTGTTAGAATGGCCGATTTTTTTACAGCAAAAAAAAAAAAAAAAAAAAAAGGTGTTTACAACCTGGTACAAGGAATGATTTTGGTTCATAGCTAATATTACCCTTAATGACAACTGTGAGGGGGGTGAACTTTTTTATAACTCATCCGTTTCCTATATTAGGCTATTTTAAGTTTGCATCATTAAGGGCATGGCCACTTGAGGGACAGCTATAGGTCAAGCTGGTCGTAGTCACTTCACCTCAGCTGACTCCGGCAGATTAGCCACTGAACTTGGCATATTCATCATATTTTTGTTTTGTTTTATGTGGCTTTACACAGTCAGTTGCCTTTTGGACTTATTTCTTACAATTATCAGATGATATGGCATGCTGTGTGTGCTTAATTGTGCTCCAAAACCATTCACGTGGCCTCCGTTTCCAATGTGAGTAAATTTATAAACTTCTACACCATATCTATACATTTATTTGTTTTTTTAGGATCATTTATAGTTTCTATTTTTCTTTAGAACTTGAAAGCATAATCTGACAGATTGATTAGCTGTAGGCTCTAGAACAGTAGTCTTTAGTGTTGTCATACAGTGTTATGCTGGATTTCATCAATAGCCTTGCATTTATTAATACAGACTATATCTGAAGTGTTTGGAAGTCATTCGCGTTTTCACCCTGTAGAAAAATGTCATAAGTACAATGCTTAGTGGCTCAATTTATTACAACAGTGTTTTTAAAAGTCTAAACACTTTATTGATATAGTGTACAGCCAAGCACATGTGGTCAGAACACAAACGAGTCACAGGTAATAAAGTATTAAGCGTTTTCCCAAAGTAAAATCTGTCTAGCCAGGTCCAAGCAAAATGCCAGCAGGTGTCTGCAGCTCCGCTCACTCTCCCCCTC